AACCTCCAACTCCTGGGCTCAAGCGATTCTCTTGCCTCAGCCTCCCAAGTAGCTGGGACTACAGGCACCTGCCACGACGCCCGGCTATTTTTTGGTTGTAGTTGTCATTGTTGTTTGGCAGCCTTGGGCTGGATTCAAACCCACCAGCTCTGGTATATGTGGCTGGCACCTTAGCCACTTGAGCTATAGATGCTGAGCCTGCATATACTTTTCAATGCCTAGATATCCTAGGGCCTTTTATTTTTATAATGCATCTGGGGGCCTTGAATGAGTAGTGTGTACTTGACAGGGCCATTTTCCTAATGACAGGCCAGGACTCTGGCCTTGGAACCTATCTACCTCTTTAATTTTTAGATTTCCCACTACACCTCGGGAAGAATGTGGTAGGCCGAATGCCTGACTGCTCTGTAGCCCTGCCATTTCCATCCATCTCCAAACAACATGCAGTGATTGAGATCTTGGCCTGGAACAAGGCCCCTATTCTCCGAGATTGTGGAAGCCTCAATGGTACTCAAGTCCTAAGGCCTCCTAAGGTTCTGAGCCCTGGGGTGAGTCATCGACTGAGGGACCAGGAATTGATTCTCTTTGCTGACTTGCCCTGCCAATACCATCGCCTAGGTGTCACCCTGCCCTTTGTCTCTCGGGGTCCTCTAACTGTAGAAGAGACACCCAGGGCACAGGAAGGATATCAACCCCAGAGATTTCCATTGGCTGAGGACTCAGAAGAAGAAATGGGTAAGCTTATGTATTGGGAGGGTGGGAGAAGAGATGGGGATAATGATGAATACAGTTGTCAACTTGACTCCTTTCTGTGCTTGACAGATTCTCTTTCTGAAAGGGATATGATGAAAGAATCAAGGACCACATCCTCTCCTTTGTCAATGGTAGTTCCAGAGAGGTAAGTACCTAAGGGCCAGATATCTGAGCCTTCAAAAGGAGGGGCTGGAATATCAATCTCTAAGAGAGAGGCAGCACCTGTGGCTCAAAGAAGTAGGGCACCAGTCCCATATGCCAGAGGTGGTGGGTTCAAACCCAGCCCCAGCCAAAAAGTGCAAAAAAAAAACCTCTAAGAGAAAGATAATTATGAAAGTTGGGGCTCGGCGCCTATGGCTCAACCGGCTAAGGCGCCAGCCACGTACACCT